CGCTATGTTCTGGGACTGGTACTGAGATCGTGGTTTCGTAGGAAGCGGTTCGCGCCGTTTTTCCTACGACACGCTCCTGTTAGGTGCCGTTGTACGGCGGTACCGGATTAGGGTGTGACAGAGATGGTATCAGAGCATAGGTTGGCCCTAGGATTGAAACCCCTGAATAGGATGGCACTATTCTAAGGTGTCGTTGTCCCCTTTAGCTCTAGTTTTGTGAAAAATCTTTTTGTGTCCAAAAGTTGATGCTAGTCGCTTGTTTTGCTTTTGACCTAGAGTAAACCTGTCTTCACGCCCAGTTGAAGGAAGGTGTGCTCAAGCCTCTAGGAGTCTTAGTTAAGTCTTAGTGACAGGTCATGCGTAGCAGTGGTCGGTACGGTGCTAGCTTTCTTATAGGTTCTGTGTAGGTGTTGTTGGTGCGTGGGGGTGAAGTTTTTTTTTTGGTTCTTAGCTATTGCCTTTCCAGAGTGCTAGTCTTTATAATTTTTTTCTTCTTTATTAAATGAAACAACATACCGTTTGGTGTTGTTCGTAAAAAAAAAAAACAGAGAGAGAGAGAGAGAGAAAGACATCGTATACCATCTGTAGCCACTAGACCACGTCAAAAATGTAAACTTCGGCGCTGTGTATGCACTCACTACTGTAGCTAATTATAGACAAATGATGGTACAGACAAACATTAGGTCATGGTAATTAAGGCAGGCGTGGCCCATGTAGCAAATTTGTTTTGTCATTGTTTCTGCCTGTTTTAGTAGTCACTGATAGCCCATTATGACTAACTGTGTGGTGTGGGTGTGGTAGCAATATATATTTTGGTCAACAAAACACTGATTTTGTGTCACTGCTGACGGCACAATTTGCAGACGTAGGTAATTGCTCATTATAAACCACAGAAAAAGCTAGCAATAATATTATGTTGACATTGGCAGCTTGTAAGCGCACGTGACACGATCTACACCAATGATTAAGCGAGTACTAACGAAACAAGGATAGTTGAATCCTCCACATTGATCATTGATGCAACCGGCAATGCAAGTACTCCCTCTTGCAAGTCAGATATGGATAATGAAGAATAAAATCGAACCAGTAAGAACGATGTTACTAGATTTATCCTAAACAAACTACCATAATACATAAATTTTTGTGAGATAACTTACTTTTATGAATATTATTGATCAAAGTAACATATTTTCTCGAAAACCATATCAAAATCTATCTTTTATTTGAAACAACTTATTTTTATGAATCTTATTGATCAAAGTAGCATATTAAAAACCATACCAAAATCTAAAGATATTAAGATACTTATATTTTGGTACGGACATATACTATATTCTCATATAGTGTATTTAATGTTATTTCTCTCTTCTCTCGTTAAGCCACATCAGCCTAATTATTTTTAGCCTTTGGATGATAGTAGTTTTATGGTTCAAATTGTCTCTTATTTCTTCTCCCATACAACTATGTAATCTTAATTATTTTTAGGATCAAAATTCATCAGTATCAATTAGTTCTAATAATCATATCATACAACTAATTTCCTACAGCAACATGGTGGAGTATTTATTTATGTAAACTTGTCGTGTCAAAGCCTTTCCAGCACTGAACGCTGCAGGAAGGTGTTCTCTGATTCTCTTCTTTTTCATGGTCACTGCATACTTTTTTGTGTGGCATAATTAGGATTATCTTATTTGGAAAAAAAAAGAAATTTTGACGACATGTTTACAATACGTTGGCATACCATGAACCTGAAACCTTTTTTTTCCTTTTCAATTGATTTTGATCTCTCCGTACCACCTCGTGAAATGTGAGTCTCGAGAGTGGTGGATCTAGCGTAAGACGAAAAAGCTCCATAAAAAACGAACAAAACACATATTGTATTATATTTATATTACAATACAGAAAAAAAAACACCATCAGTAAATTAAGTTACAAAAGAAAATCAGTACAAAATAGAGTGCATTTCCTGAGTCACCTATCTCTAAACGGATGCTATATAAGGCACGGGCAAACGGGTAATAAAATTTGAAAATATATCTTTTTTTTTCGTACTTTATGTTTATATACACGGGCGAAAGCGGAACGGGGGTGCGGGACCGTCGCTCGCCGCGCGCTCCCGCGTCACCGTCGCGTGGGACCGAAACGGTCCCGCGTCACCGTCGCGTGGGAGGCAGCTGCTGCCGGCGATGCATGCATGCGATTTGCTTGTCACGCTTGCGATTTGCTTGTCACTGATCAGCGGGACCGTTCGGTCCCGCATCCTCGTTCGCCCATTCCGCGGATTGAGTACGTATATTTTTGCAAATTATGTCACATGTATATAAACGCAAAATATAGGAAAAATATATTTTCAAATTTTATTCAGCAAACGGGCACCACATTACAGGCTACAGGGCAGACCGGTAGAGTCCGCCGCGTGCCTGTGGACCCATACCACAAGATACAAGTTTCACGGTACATGGTATGATAGGCTATGCTTTTATATTTATTTTCAATGATCTTGTAGGATACCATGCTAAAGTTTTGTATAATATATATACTTCTCGATAATATAAGAATAAAATTTATTACTATATTATATGTGCGTACAAAGGTAGATGTTGGAGATGTAAACCATTTCAATTATAAAAAAAAAGTACAATGCGTATTTTTAAGTAAGGTCGAAGTTGCATGGAGCTGCCTTGCATTTAGTTGTTTTTTAGACATTGTAATATAATATGAGTAATAGTTCAGAGTATTTGATTTTTAAGGAAATCAATTTTTTTCTTATGAATCCGCCGCTGATTCTAAGAAGGGCACTTATCCATTTCCAGCTTGCTTTTAATGGCACATATATATATATATATATATATATATATATATATATCACGTATTGTTGTTGGTAGACGAGTAGGCCCAGTTCTGACGTGAGGTGAATCTTTCTCCGCGTCCCTTGGATAATACTTGAAGCCGTTCAACATCATAATTTTAAATTGGTAATGGTTGCATCAGTAGTGCTCCATTACTTCGATTCCCTTTATCTGCTGTGCTTCCTCAGTTCCTCTGTTGTTCACCGGGACCGGGACCTGGTGGAGAATGAAAGCATGTTTAGTTCCCAACTTTTTCTTTAAACTTTTAACTTTTCTATCACATTAAAATTTTTCTACACATATAAACTTCTAATTTTTTCATCACATCGTTTCAATTTTAATCAAACTTTCAATTTTAACGTGAACTAAACACCCGAAATAATCGTGTCTTGTTCAAAGAAAGCAGGATGAAGCATTATATTAGCTTTAGGAAATTAAAGGCACTCAGAATTTTGTAGTTCTAGCTATCCTTTCAAAAGATGATAATTTTGTAGCCTAAAAAATAGTAGCGGCACCGTTCACACCTAAATTTGTTCTTATTTTTCTCAATGTGTCTCAATGTGTAGGCTGAATTTAAATTTGATTGGACTGATAAATGTCACTATGTTCTACATCATTAATTGTTTTTAGAAATTTTCACAACTATTTTCATCTGATTTAAAAGAAAAAGATATACAACGGGACAGCCACTCAATAGACTGTACGAGGGGAGATTGAGAAAGTCCGGAATAAAAGGTGGCAAAGGGAACCACACATATTGGAGAAGGCAGCAATCAAGACTCAAGAGGGCTGGTCAAAAGAGGTGTGGAAAGGGGGCATGTAGTCTAAGAAACGAATATTGATGTGGTTGCGAAGGTATTTCATGAAACGTTAATAAAGCATCGGAAAAATATTTCTAATGGATATAAACCATCATTATATTTTTCTTAACAATTTTCCTTTCTTGTTGGTAAGGAGGTTTGATTGGGAACAAGCTCGACGTAGATAGGCTGTTTCAGAAAATATTTTCCCTTTTTTAAGAGAGAGAGAGAGAGAGAGAGAGGGGGGTGTTCATAGATGTATGTTTTTTCTTTCCTCTGATCGTCTGCTAGTACTAAATTTTAATAACTAATTATGCAGACATGGTATAATTCAAAGCATTTATTAGCTTAATCATTTCCACTTATTAATTAGCATCAGTAGCCGATCTATCACCATCACCATGACTATTGAATTAATAAGGATTCTTGATGGATTGGGTACACATAGACTTTGAGAATTATAGACGTTTAAGGAACATTATGGAACAAGTGCCACAAGGCCACATCTAGGTATACATGTTGGTGATATCTCCACTACGTGATTATATGTAGCACTCTGATTTTTTAAATATAAGTTATTTAGACTTTTACATGAGAATTAAGGAAACAATTCAATATTGCCCCCATTTTAGACTATATTGAAACAAAATACGGAGTATGATTAATTTATTTATGAGAGGGGTAACACATTTATTTGAGAAAAGAAAATACGAGAGAAAATATGACAAAAGTACCTAGGATTTCAAAAAAGGGGTTACATTTAAGAAAGAGATGAAAAAGGCTAAAATGGCCTACATTTGTAATCTGAAGGAGCAATTCTTTCAATTAACAATTGACTAGTATTAGCATGGAAGTGATATTGCACTGAAAAGAGAGAGAAGAACCTTATAGGGTCATGGGGATATAGATAAGTGCTGTAACCAACTTATATATATGAGCCTGAAAAGAACATCTTCCACAATTACCTGCTTATTATTTACTTATTCGTTGAAGTGGTAGATAGAGTATGTATATCGGTATATGAACCACTCGCACCTGCAAAGTATATGGCACATAATGTTTTTTACTTCATTACAACGTCAACTGAAACGTCTCTGAATAAAAGAAAAGGACAACTGAAAGCTTGAGACAATAGCAACATTTTCATTTATTTTTCCAAATCCTACCTAATTTTGCTCGTACCGTGATTCAATAAAAACAAAGTGTCGAACTAAGTAAAGTGAGCCAAGTTTTAAAATTACGGATGAGTTTGAGGAGAAGGGGACAGAGAAGATTTAAAAGATACGTAAAACGAGGTGAGCCATTACCACATGATTAATTGAGTATTAACTATTTTAAATTTTAAAGGATTAATATGATTTTTAAAGCAACTTTTCTATAGAAATTTTTTTTACAAAAAACGCACTGCTTAGTAGTTTGGGAAGCGTGCGTGCGGAAAACCACGTGTAGTTCAATTACTGGAGGAATAAGTTTGCAACGATCGACAACCTATATATCCCAACTGAAGATTGCGTAGCGTATTCTCAAAAACTTAAAACAAAACAAAAAAACCTGAAGCTTGCGTACACCTCGGACGATGCATACTTATCACTCCAATCAACCCATATTGTTTTAGATAATGGAACAGTATAACCAATCAATTCACATGCTGTGATGCTGATCACGATTATCCAAACTGAGCTACTTGTTAATTAGATTAAGTTACAGCAGGCTCAATCATGTCGCATATATTAGGCCAATAATTTCATCAGAATACCTGCAATAAGGCAGTAGAATAATGTGTTCCACATCAGAGAGCAAACAAGTAAACCTTTAATTAGTAGTAGTATTCTGTTTCCATGTTGATATACTAACACATTGATTGATTCTCAAAGTCAAATGTAGCCAAGTCCAATCTTATATATGTACTTATCGATGGGAGATAAGCACATATAAGCTAGTCATCTACCTACGTCCACAAGTGGAGAAGAAAAACACGCGAAGCTGCACTATTCCAAATACTCACACCGATTTTTAGTGTTTAACGCCAATAAATTTTAAACATATGTTTGCCTATTTATCTTATTAAAAAAATATATATGCAAAAATGTAATCATGTTTAAATGACCTTAAATAAAAAAAAGTTGACTTATGCTTTTGAAAATGCCATGAGCTTTTTCATTAGTTTTACTATCATGCATGAACTCTTTAGTTTTAGGTATCCTAAAATTTATTAATTCGTAAATTTCGAATTAATAAATATAAAGAATATGTGCTCATGCATTCCGAGCTTTTAATTTAGTATTTTGTTAATTTAATTTCTAATTTCGAAATTAATAATTAGCCAATTGAAGTGGACTCCTTTTCTTTATCTAAGCCGCTATTTAGAAAACAACCAATGCATTTAACATATAATTAAAACTTTAATATTTATACTATTTCATCCATTTTAAATTACTTATCGTTTTAGTTTTGTCCTAACTCAAACATTTGTGTATTTTTCAATCAATTTCTGAAAATTTATATAGTTTAATTTCATATGATTTTTGTTTCTAGATTCATCTTGAAAAATACTTTCGTGATATATAACTCAAATGTTATTAAAATATACGATTTTTTAAGAAACTAATGGTAAAAGATAACATATTTAATTTAGGATAAAGTTAAACTGATAAGTAATTTAAAATAGAGAAACTCAAAGGATCGATAAACGGAGAGAGAGAAAAAAGGCTCGAAGCTAACAAGCTAGCGTCATGCTTATCTGACAAGTTCTTTGAAAAATCCTACAGTACTTTGAGGAGGTACATGGTTATCTCAAGTACTTCATCCTTCGCGAAATATACTCCCTTTGATTAAAAAGACTTTATTTTTTGTTATCTCACACATACCAATAAAAAAACTAAAATGCTCTTCACTTTTTTAAACTCCGATATATTTGTCCAGCACATTTTTAAACTCTAATGCATTTGTCTGCTATTTTCTCAAACTCCAATACATTGATTCTCTTAAAGATAAAGTCTTCGTGGAGCAAATAACTCCTATACAAACTTATCCATCACATTTTTAAACTTTAATGCATTTGTCCATCATTTTCTCAAGCTCCAAATACATTGATTCTTTGAAATATGATGTCAAATAAAATAGAGTAACAATTTTTAGCCCTTGAAATGGCTATTAAGTACAAGTGTAAAAGACTTGTTTTTCTACTTGGTGGGTTCCGTGCAGAGCTAGGCTAGTTGGGATAACAATGAAGCCAGAGGGTAGTACGAGTGTATGAGTAGTTTGCTGATAGAAATCATCTTTCGAAGATTGTTATATTTGAGATACCATTTGAACTCTAGAAGCATGCTATATCCCAAAATATAAAAAGTATTAGGGTTAAACACATGTATTAAGAAAATAGGTAAAACTAAATGAGAAAATGTTGTGTTTAGTTAAAACAGGAAATAAATGGATACATTAAAAGTTAGAAGGTTGTCATTGGGTGAAAACAAAATGTATGTGGAGAAGTTGTCATAATAAGAGATAAATTTTGAATGCTATAACTTCTATATTTTGGGATAGAGGAATCACCGAACTTTACAATAAAAAAGTGAGCACATACCATAAAATCACTTAAATTCTTTGCATACGGCATGCTGTTAGCTACCACCTCCGTTCCAAAATATTATAACATCTGTCCAAATTCGTTGTCTTAAAATTGATCAAATTTTATCCTAAATCGTAATATTTTGGGATAGAGGAAACAATAGGCATAAAGAAAGCTCTGACTCTATGTATTGTCAACATTGGAACATTAAAAACAAAAGGACAACAATGTGCGTATGCACAAGTGTCGCGAAATGACGTTAAAAGTGCTCGTTGGCCAGCTGGAAATTGACCAAGTAAATTTGCTGTTGCGAGCCGGGTGTTCGTTTCATTTCTGAAGCAACTCTTGAAAGTTCAACAATGGGGATCGCCACCTGTATACTCGTCATCATCAGCTGGCTAGCCATAATTAAAAAAGACAAGGAAAGAGTCGTTGACTCGGAGGATGTACACGTTTGCACCTACGTGGAAGCTATTTTCCAACAAGATATATTTGGATCATCAGATCAGCGTGCGGTAGCTAGAGCTGGTGAGTGGTGACTAGCCAGGTCATTGTCTCCTATTCGAGTTCTCTTTTTTTTTTGTTGGCCTTGCAGTGGTTAGTTCGGTGCTAGTATTCTCCCGGTTTATGCATTGGTATTATCGGTGTGTGGGTGATGGTTGTTTTTCTTCGTTTTTCTGGTTAATTATGACCTCCTAGTATTGTAATCTTATATTTTTTTTCTCTATCGAGTCGTTAAAAAAATAAGTACTGGCCCTATGCAGTTGTGCTAGTTGTAGTTTATGTTGAAACAAAAACGGAGTTTGGTGCTATGCAGATGTGCTAGTTGTAGCTTCTGTCAAACCAAAAACGGTTTATCTATTATCTTAGAAGAAAAAAAATGACAGTCTTTCCCTATAGCTTAAATATTTTGGGCTGAACTAAACTACGGCATCAAGTTAATTAAAGGCGTCGAATTCAAATATCTTAACTGACACGCAATTAAATAAAAAAAATCGTTGCTCACTTTTATTACTCGTTTGGATTAGCTCATACACAATATATTATAGAGAAAATCCCTTCCGTGCCTCTGAAAACTCGCCCAATACCTTCCATACCCTTGAATTTTACTAGATCTCCTATGTACCTTCGTATTTTCGCTTTAATCCCTTCCATAACCCTCACGTTTGGTTTCCGTTAGATCTGTGACTTAATCCGTGTGTTACATTGTAAGTATTATTTAAAAAAACCAAGATACCCCTACCAACCCTAGCTAAACAAATCCAATCCTTCTCTTATCCCATATCCTCTCCACGCGAGCAGCATCCGCGCGCCGCCGGCCACCGCCCTCCCGTCGCACGAGCCACCGTCCAAGGCATCCCGCCGTGGGCGCCACCAGACATCGCCTTCCCATCGTGCAAGCCAAAACCGTCCTCCCTTCGCAGGGGCACGACCCAGCATCGCCTAGCTAATTTGGTTTGTCTATTGCAGCATTGTGTATGGAATGAAAAGTTAGTTTGGTTCCTGCACTATTGGGTATGTAAATGAAATTGTGGTGTGTGCATGATATGAACTGTTATGTAGGACTATGGAAATGAAATTGATATGAAGTGCTCTGTATGGATGCTATTATTTTGTATGATGCTCCTGATGCTCTTATTGATCCAGGTGTATTTTGTTTCACAAATTTCTGTATGGATGCTCTTCTCATTTCCTTCCTATCAATTGGTGCTATTAATGGTCCTGATATTTTTGTTTGGATGCTCCTGATGATTTGCAATGGATTTTCTCCTTTGTCCACGGCAAGTTTTGCTTCATGTTGATTGTACCAATTTCTTGTACAGAGGAAACTGGTGTCACTTTGATTTTCCTAATCCTATTATTTTTTTTCAAAAAAAAGTTCAATGTATTGCATTTTTTCAATACTACAATAATTTTTTTATACTCCTTATTTAGTTTCATAAAATACACATATTGTGCAATCAACATTTTTTCAATTGTTTTCCAATCTACCTGCTGCTCCTCCATCTATAAGGGTAATAATACATTTGCAACCACATATAATTGGAAAATGAAGGAAACCTAACGGGAGAGGCATGAAAGGGATCAAAGCATAATTCAAGGGCACAAAGGCGATCGAGTAAAATTCTGTGATATGGAAGGGATTGATCGAGTATTATTATTGTCGTGCATAATCCGGGTCACTGAATTCCGATCTAAAGGCTATGAGAGATTGATCAAATGGCTATGAGACGCTCATGATGTGCACTACAAAATTTTCCACGGACAATTTAAAAATTGCCTTTTAAATCTGGAGTTCCATATTCTAGAAACACTTTTAAAGGTATTTTAAATATCGTCTAGAATATTTTTACCTTAGAGATAGTTTTAGCATATTTTAAAGATATTTTCTAAGTTTATCTTGGAGAGACATTTGTAGGTGCTCTATGATTTGTCACATATGTAAAGGTATTTTAACCTCTCTAGACTTTTTAGGAGGCTAATTAATCTGCAGTAAGTGATCCAATTTAATTTACACGAAGACTCTATAATTTAGTGCCATGAATAGAACTGATAATATATTCAATAAAGCAATCAAAATTGACTTGTCTATCCTTGCAGTAGCTACCAAATTAAAAGATATCGTTTGAAATGAAAAAGAAATTAAGGATATAAAAGCATAAGATGGATAATAACATGCCATACATGAATCACACGTGAATAAGTGGAGGTAGACATTAAAGTGTCTACATGAAAAAAAAAAAGATCAAAATTTTTTTTGGAGTATGGGAGAGAGGCTGTCTTGGTACTATTTTAGGGAAAATACCATGAGGCTTGAGTAAATGTATGTTTTCCTCCCCAAATAAATACTATATGAAAGGGAAGATGAATACCCAAATATATTTTTATATTCAACACTTTGTTACAGAATGACACAAAGATTTTTTTTTTACAGTAGGAATTAATTAAATCCAACAATATTTCTTTACTTTCCCTTTATTCCACAGATAAGGTATATATGTTAGACATTCACCAGATGATGAAATCTCTAGATCAAGAGGATAGTCAATCAGGTTATTTAGAGCAGTCTGGTGAAGTGGGTATTTGAGCAATGGCTCAGGGTCGCAAGGAGCACGAAGGAACAAGAAGTATATGTCAAATTAAGGCTTTATATTTTATTTTCGTGATGACAAAGAAGACGGAGTACGCCCATAGTTGTAATTGCACACAATTAATTAGCACATGCCTAAATAGATTAGCAATGTTAGAGCACCCGCAATGGTAAAGTAAGGTGCTATATAAAATATGTACATCTCAGCAATAGATTAGATTAATAGTAAATCACTTTAATGGTATGTCTACATGGGTATCTATAGCTCTCTAATCCATTGCCTCGTTTTTCTCTATAGACTATCTCCAGGTTAGTAGATAGCTTTACTCTATCTCTTCATTTAATCTCTTCCAAGTAGGAAAATATGTTGATATGGATCTCTTATAGAGAGTCTATAGATAACTATTGTGGGTGCCCTTAGAGATATATCACTGCAAACCTCACAAAGTTCTCGTTATATTCATACACTCATAACTTTCATAAATGCGTGTTAAATTAACAGTCGCACCTTTGTAATGGGGCTTCTTCCCCTAGCAGCGGAGTGGATCATTACCTTCAAATCTGATTTTGCTTCCTTGATCCGCGGATGGTGAAGTTCCCAACCTCATAGTATTCTTCCCAAGATCGATCTCATTGTAGAGTGCATGGAGATGTTGCTTATCAACTTCTTATGGAGAGCAAAATGTAGATCACAAAGGTAGCATAGCTTGCTAATTAAGCAGTAAGCACATGGAGCACGGGTTGGTGTGGATATCACAAGCTTCGTTTGCGTTTCGAATTGAACATTTTATTACTCGAGAATACAATCCTCTCATCTGATTAATATATAAATCTATTTTCATTAGAAAAATCCATTCGTCTCTGTCAGATAATCAAGCATTAAAGTCCATTCGAGTATAGCATGCATCATCCCTCTAAAATATCCATATAAGTCAACGTGACGGGCAGCTGTTTAGTTGTGATGATCCTCTTCTTTAGACTCTCTGCACCGCCTACACTAGATTCATCGAACCTGGACGCATTTTGACTTTACGTACGTCTCTATCCTTGTTCCACTGCTCATCTTCTTCTTCCTCTATCTTTTATAAATTGTGAAGGAACTGTCACCTCCTGAGTCCTGACCCACAATTGCGTCCACATTCCAAACCACTCTCCGCCACCCAATCTGGAAGATATAGTAGTGCCACATTGGTGGGCCCAGACAATCAAAAAAGAAAAGCCAACAGAAAAAGTTCTCAAGCTGAGCGAAAGTGCTCGAGAGGAACATCATAGTAAGAAAAAGGAACCCTTTGTTCTTTACGATTTGTTTGTTTCTCTTCGTTTAGTTTAATTTTGTTACAGCTGCAATGCAAAAAGCCAGGTGAAGCTACGACCTTGAGTTCTTCATTGTAGCCTCTTTTCCCCTGGTTCCATATCTGAACTTTCCTGCTCTTTGGGTATTTGTATTTTGCTTCAGGTTTCGATATCTACCTAGCTAGGAGTAGTTGTGTTTTGGGGATGCCAAACAAAATTAACAATTGCATTCTTTTTCCTTTTTGTTCAACCAGCCATTTGTATTGGCAAAGTCTCGTGCCAGTGCCGATACAGATTTATAGTTAAAGACAGATATATTTTGGGATGGAGGAGTAACTATATATCTGTGGGCTCTATCGATCACATTTGTCGAACTAGATGCAAGATATGCAACTGGTGAAATAATTGCTGAACCTTGTTTATTTTAGGTTTGTTGGAATGAACTGGTAGTCACCTCCTTCCTACAAATCTCTTCTTGGTCAGCTCGGATACACACACTTGTGGGTATAACCTGCGATGGGTTGACGCGTCCACAGCATTATGCAAGATCACTCGGTGTTTTTCAGGATAAGAACAGTTACTGCTTCGATCTTGACAGAACAGTGCCCAGAGAATGCATATGCTATGAAACAATAGAGTACTGGAGTAGTACATTTGGGACATTTGGCATGGAAAGATTAGAGAGAGGAAAGGCCCAATATGCGCTAGGGCTCCAATAATTTCTAAGCAAGTGATGAGAGCCATCAATGGTGCCGAGAATCTATTGGCTGGTAGCACTTTAGAACCATCCACTATGTTGCCTCATAGCATACGCACGTTGGGATCTTATTGTTCAGTAATAATCAGTGTTCGGTAACCTACCATTAACCATTAGGCTCCCTGCCTTGCGTGTAGCTGCTGGCCTAGCTTGACCATTGGATCAAGTTGATGCAATTGACAGCAAAAGATTTGCAAAACTAGTACTTCCATATAGTTATTTAATTAGTCGACCGTATGGAGTATGAGCTTGCACTTCTGCGGATAATGTTCAGAATTAGAGTTAACAACTACATATGCATGGCATGCTTCCCATTAGAGCAAGTATAATAGTGAGCTATAAACTTACTATAATCTTAGGTGGAGGAGAGAGATAGTGAAAAATCAAGGGTGTTGGCTCTCATGCAAGAGTTAGCTTATCACAAACTTTAAGACAAATACATTACATGTATAAGTGAGAGATAGAGAGAAGAAAATAAAATTATAGCCAACCTTATAGCTAATCTATTATATATGTTGATTTTAAGATGAGCTAATAGTAGGAAGTGAGCTATACTATTATCCTTGCTCTTATTGAACCTGATATGGGTTTGTCCAGTTTCATAGCAAGTTGATTCTTTTTAGGAAACGGAGGAAATACCATTTATGATCTTATGAAATCTGTGGACGTCCTTAACGAGTTAAACTTGGTCAGTTGTTTTTAGGCTGGGGTTATGTGTTGTTGTTATCTATTAATTTCAAGCAATTGGTTTTCATCTGTCAACGATTGTCATTGTCAGTAAGGGAAGGTATGTTTTATGGTAATTTGCCTATATGAAAATGTACACGTCCTTTTCTCGTGATGCTAAAACTTTAGAGGCATTTCATCTCAAAACTTTGGAGTTTTTAGAGGAATCCATGGTACTACAGAATTTGGACATTCTGAACGTGACAGCATGCCGTCAGAAAATTTGTAAATTTGTAGTACTCTCTTGATCAACTAGCCGAAGATGACTACATATATATGCCGGTATACAAGCTTAGAAAGATTACTGCGGAATAAAATGGCAATTAATTAAGATCTGATTTTGCCAAGTTAATGTGAACCATGGAAAGTGCCTGAAAGGCTACAACCTCCCAGAAATGCTTTTGCAAATTGTCCAATGGACTTCTGAATCTCCCAGACTTTATGGCATCAACATAAATTCATTTTCAATGTTAGAATTCAAGTCTTATCCCCCTGTCCGTAGTTTGGAATGTTAACTCAATGAGGCAGGTCATTGTTAGCAGTGTGGTTCTCTTCCTCCCAATCTCCATACAGGGGTATAAAGTGGATTCTCCTCCTTTCTCTGATGAATTGATGAAATAATTTCGTGAACTTAGTTCATATATGGTGCAATGAGCCTTCTTTTGGTCCCAATGTTGGAATAGGATGTCAAGAATCAGTTTCTTACTGTTAAAAATATATTTAGGGTTGGTAACCCAATCCAATGCATGGCTTTCTTACAATTTTTTTTTTTTTTGCTAAAACTCTTATGCTTTCTGATATTTCATTTATGCACTACACTCCAGATCAGATATATCTTTCTATAAATAAACTCTCAGACAATAAGTTTGAGTACTAACATAATAACCATGAGAAAGAGCTCTGTTGAAAAATGCAATCTAAAAGCAAATGACTCTGCGGTGAAAAGAAAAAAAAAAAGGGAGGGCGGGGGGCAAATGACTAGTCAGGGAGGGTGATTGAAACACAAAATTTTATGCTGATGGCTGCTGAACCAATCAATGATGTTCTTGGTCAGAAAACTGGCAACATGCATTCATAATGGTGCTGAAATTTGACGAAGTATTTACACAAACTATAAGTTATACTACTTACATTAAAATCATTATTTAAGCCCACTATTATAAATTTTCCCTACATTTTTTTACAACACATACACGTATACAGCCGAGCAAGGAAAAAAAATATTTCCTAGCATTATTTATTGCTTTTTTAATCTGCCAATTTTTCAACGGTTGTTATGCATGCGACATGATTTAGTTGGAATTTGCAAGTACATGGCGTACGTTCAGCAAATGATGAGCTGTGGGAATAAGGTATTACATTAGGTAGGGGTTTCCTGAGATGTTGTTGAATCTAGAGCATTTTTCGGCTCAGATTCACAACTACAAGCTTATCTTAAACCTTATTGAAAAATAGAGGTTTGACCTTGATCGTAGCTTGAGATCCTCTGCGCATATATAATGGACTTCCGGTAGCTTCTGGACAGTGAAATTAACAAGGCAGGCCTTCGACTGTGGGCTGTGGGCTGAGTGCGACTTCTAGGCTTTCGTTGTGTAGGTTTTGTTTCTTTCTTCTTTTTTCGAAAAGAGAGGTTTCTTTCTTGTGTTCATTGCTTTTTTATGCTCAATGCTGTCTGTTTTATCAGAAACTAACAGATGAATATAATATTTTTGCTGCTTCTTGTTAGTAGTACTAGTACATACATATAGATTTCTTCCCTGCGTTGTAAATGCAAATGTTTCAGATATTTTGGTTCTCCGTACTGCAAAAGTTTTTTTTTTCTTCACTGTCGACCATGCATGCGTTGATGCATGCAGGTGCTTTGGCAGTACTGCTGGATTGAATTAATGGATCAAGACTGAATTTATCTGTAAATAATTAGTTCATCGTAATAAGGTTGATGTGTTTGTGCTTACCTGCTTCAGTACTGCGCTTCATGTGCAGATAGGTTCGCCTTCAGCACCTTGCCGGTGAATAACGCCGGCAATGCCGCGAGCCGTGTCCGACGGGGGCGAGGCCATCGACGCCGACATCGCCAGCCGGACGTCATCGCACAGCCACATGGACGGCGGCCATCATCATCATCATCACGGCCACAAGGTCGAGTTCCCACCGAAGAAGAAGCTCATCGACGAGTTCACCGACGCCGTGAAGGAGACGTTCTTCGCCGACGACCCGTTGCGGCAGTACAAGGACCAGCCGATGTCAAAGAAGGTGTTGATCAGCCTGCAAAACTTCTTCCCGGTGCTGGACTGGGGCCGGCACTACACCTTCCGCAAGTTCAGGGGCGACCTCGTCTCCGGCCTCACCATTGCCAGCCTCTGCATACCCCAGGTTTGTGCCTGACGATCAAACACCATCTTGCACGCACAGCAGCGACCTGAATAGCACAGCTCCTGCATGAAAATTGCATACAATCTTCGTCATCAACCCTGACATTGCAACACTTCATCCAGGACATCGGTTATGCGAAGCTTGCTGGCCTATTACCAAATTATGGACTGTGTAAGTGCACAGAATTCACTTACTAGTATTTGTATAGGGTGTGCTCGAGTGATAGTCCAGCCAGTGGTCTAACGGAAATCTGCTGATTTTTCAGACAGCAGCTTCGTACCGCCTTTGATATACGCGATGATGGGAAGTTCCAGGGATATAGCCATTGGTCCAGTGGCCGTCGTTTCGCTGCTGCTTGGCACTCTCCTCCAGAATGAGTTTGATCCCAAGAAGAATCAGGAAGAGTACACCCGGCTGGCCTTCACTGCAACGTTCTTCGCTGGGGTCACCCAGGCAGCGCTCGGATTCCTCAGGTGAGTGGCTACCTGCAAAGTGATCATTGTTAAGCAGTCAGTTCTTAGATATGCAGTTCTGCCCTCTTGGGTTCTTAGAGTGGACAGTTTACCATAGAGTGAGATTGTACTCTGCTGCAGGCTAGGGTTTATCATAGAGTTCTTGTCCCATGCTGCCATCGTTGGATTCATGGCGGGAGCGGCCATCACCATTGCCCTTCAGCAGCTTAAAGGCTTCCTTGGAATTGCAAACTTCACCAAGAAGACTGACATCATCTCGGTCATGAAATCAGTCTGGGGAAATGTTCACCATGGGGTAGGACAAAATAATATCATTCCTTTAAGAACTTATTGCTTCTTCATCATTCTTTGATGGAAACCAGTATTGGGTACAACTGATGCTAGCTTGGTTGCTGCTGCAGTGGAACTGGCAGACGATATTGATCGGAGCATCCTTCCTGGCATTCCTCCTGGTTGCAAAATACATTGTAAGATAAACTATACTAAATGTTCAGATTTTGATCTTGGATATCCTTGTTAGGGAAAACGTTTACTGGTTCTCATAATCACAGTTTCATTTGGGCATTTCAGGCAAAGAAGAATAAGAAACTCTTTTGGGTGGCTGCAATTGCACCACTCACTTCGGTGATCATATCCACCCTTTTTGTCTATATCACTCGAGCAGACAAGCATGGTGTCGTGATTGTAAGTCAATCTTGACAGCTCGTAACCCTTTCCATTAGGAAAAGAAACAAAATTATGAAACAAATCAAAGCTAATATGAAGTATGTTACTGATTAATTGCAGGTCAAGTACATAAAGAAAGGCATCAATCCACCTTCAGCTAGTCTCATATACTTCAGTGGCCCAAACCTGATGAAAGGATTCAGAATAGGAGTAATAGCTGGCATGATAGGCCTAACAGTAATGCAAACTTCACCATCTTAAAGATTAAAAATTTGTTGCATGGAAAGGTACTATTCACAAGACAGTGCAGTGTTCACTGATCAATTGCTGCTAACTTTATCAGGAAGCAATTGCAATAGGAAGAACATTCGCTGGCCTGAAGGACTACAAGATTGATGGAAACAAGGAAATGGTTGCTCTAGGAACAATGAACATTGTTGGTTCAATGACTTCTTGCTACGTAGCTACAGGTAACCGTTAATTCAGCCAAAAAAAATTAGACCAAGTAATTCAGCCAAAATAACTTATAGCCCATACATATATACCATTCTCGTGACCCTTTTTTTTCCCTTATGTACAGGTTCTTTCTCGCGGTCAGCAGTCAATTACATGGCTGGCTGCCAAACAGCGGTATCCAATATTGTTATGTCAATTGTAGTACTGCTCACACTGGAGCTGATTACTCCATTGTTCAAGTATACGCCCAATGCCATCCTTTCTTCCATCATCATATCAGCAGTGCTTGGCTTAGTCGACTACCACACAGCATACCTTATCTGGAAGGTTGATAAACTTGACTTTCTGGCATGCTTAGGAGCATTCTTTGGCGTCATATTTTCATCAGTGGAGTATGGTCTGCTAATTGCGGTGCGGTTTGCAATCAACTCTGTCCTATACTTACAATTAAGCTCCTTGTAACAGTAAACATAAGGGCTGATGGTACTTGAATTTGTTTTGGAACAGGTTGCGATCTCACTCGCTAAAATTCTTCTACAAGTTACACGACCCAGAACAGTTTTGCTTGGTAACCTTCCAAGAACAACATTATATAGGAATATCGACCAGTATCCAGAAGCTACCTTGGTACCAGGAGTGGTAATAGTTAGGGTGGACTCAGCTATCTACTTCACAAACTCGAACTATGTTAAAGACAGGTATAAGTTCAAAACTGGTGGGTTTTTTTCTCAGTTGCTAGTATGACTGCAGTGCTATTTAATACTCCCTCCATTTTTATTTAAATGATGTTGGTTAGTCCAATTTGAACTAAACAACATCAAATAAAAAAACAGAGGTAGTATTATAAAATTCTCAGGACGGTTTATCTCCAGTTAGTTTTATTTGATAGAGCTTGTCCAGGAAATATGAGATTAACCATGCTTTTTAGGTACGCATCAATAATCTGAGTTGACATTTGCAAGTAGAGAAAAGAAGAGTTGGAAATAAACTGAGCAAATACTGTTCAGTTTCTGCTCTGACTCACTTTATTTTATTACGAGATGTTCATGAATAAACTACATCGATTTGTTATTAACATTCATGTTCATCCTTTCCTACTGATTACTATTCTTTGGGTGGGACTTTAAATCTGCTACTGAATTCAGAAATCAACTCTACCTAAAAAACGTAAGACTACATGTGCAAGTGCCTTGTGCATTTCGCATTATTCAATGTTTCATATTATCTGATTTCAGAATCCTGAGGTGGCTGAGGGACGAGGAAGAACGTCAGCAGGAACAGAAGCTACAGAAAACTGAGTTTCTGATTGTTGAGCTATCTCGTAAGGGCATAGTGTATTTATTTCTGCAAATAATAGTTGAGATCACTACTGATATGGAGTTATTGGCTAACAAACTGATCTAATTCTTCAACAGCGGTAATTGACATTGATACAAGTGGAATCCATGCCTTGGAGGATCTATTTAGAGCACTTGAAAAGCGCAAAATCCAGGTAAAACACCAAAACTAGTGTCAACCAGTGTAAAGATTTTACAGCCATTAGCACTGATCCTTGTACAGTAATACTGTTCATATAAGAAATCCTTAGTTAAGGTAGTAATATTAAAATCCACGTGCTTGACTTACAGCTGATTCTAGCCAATCCGGGGCCAGCTGTGATCCTGAAGCTCCGATCAGCGAAATTCACGGATCTCATCGGTGAAGACAAGATATTCCTGACTGTCGGGGACGCAGTGAAGAAATTTGCTCCTAAGGCAGTGGAGAATGTCTGAAGAAACAGGCATAGTACAGAGAAGTTATTTTCATTCTTTTGCAAGCTCCATGTTTGCAGGTGTGATTTATAGAGCAGAGCAGCACAGGAAGTGCATAACATAGTTTTTCAAAAAGGTAAAATAAAGGTGGTGTGCCGGAGTTGGAGCGCATCAGGTTTGCAAGATATGGTTGGAGAAAAAAGCAGATGGTGCCCGTTGCATATCTACTTCAGTGGCTGTGAATTGTGATTAGTATGTTGGCAAGCACTTTGGGTGAAAGTTTGATGGATAAGATAAGAAAAGATAGTCATTTGCTTAAGCTGTCAGTGTGTATCTCCATCTGGTTGTAATTACCCCCTTTCTTTCTACTTGATCAAGCGTACAAATTACAATGAGGTTTTACTTTTTGACGACCAATGTTGTCTATAGCGTCCATCCAATATACATGCTTTCAGAATTTTTTTTCTCTTTCCCCTTACGAATCTTGTGCTGCAAATCTGCAATGCGTGTGGGCAATCACTCCCAAATAGTCGACAAGCACAATTGTATAGTACAGTATAGCATAATAATAATCCCTAATAATTAATATAGCGATGTTCTTTGCACTACCAGTTCATTAGTCAATGGGCGATGAAGCATAGGGATTAGGGACACGTACGCTCGCTTTGCCCGGCCGGATTTGGATTAGCCGAGCGGCTAACCGCCGGCCGCCGCGACGGAGCGAAGGTCCCGCCGCCATGCCGCAGCCAAGTAAGTAGCAGCACTCCAGCGGCGCTTTCTCGCCCGCCGACGTGCGCCGTACCGCCGGTAGCGGCGCCCGCCCCCACCCGCCGAGGCGCCGGCCGCGCTCGGCACCGCGCCGCCGCCACCGCCACTGCTTTGCTTGGGGTGGCGGCGCACCGTGGACGACGACGACGATGGCGCCCGCGCCGCAGCACATCAACGGCGGCGGTTTGGTCAGGCTAGCGACGGGCCCAATCCTTCATGGGCCTCATTTCAAGATTTGGACCGGCCCACTCCTCTGCAACGTCCTCTACTCCTCAGGAGCCAGAATTGAGGCCCATCCTAACCAGGGCTCGCTAATTGCTATAGGCGCCCGCGCGCGCCGGGAATGAAAAACTACAATGATTACCCAAAATCAAATTTTATTTTTTGGACTTAATAACAAAAATCAAGTTTTCACTATATTTGATTTTCTTTTTCTTAATACCCAAAATCATATAGTGTTTTTAGACTAAAAAATATCCGTGCATTACAACCTACTCCCTCCGTCCCATAATATAAGGGATTTGGGGTGGATGTCATCCACCCCAAATCCCTTATATTGTGGGACGGAGGGAGTACCCATAATTATATAAGTCTATATGATTTAAGAAGTAAAGCATGGGTCGAGTATAAAACACTATATTCAACTAGTTTTCTTAACCAAGTACATTTTTCTGGTTTTTAAGAAGACTGTTTTTCCTTTTTCTTTTTAATAGGGCTATGGTGGCGATGGGTGAGGATCATCAACCATAATATCACTACCATTATAGCACTTGATATGTATCACCTTTCTATTACCCCATACATTAGTATCTGTAATTGTAATATTATTATGGTGAAAGATGTGAATCGGTTGTGGTATGGGGAAGGAGTGGATGGATAGCTTGGGAGACTTCAATTGAGAGGAAGTGGATGGACGGCGCAGCTATTTAAACAGTACTTTCTTCGTCTTAAAATGTTGCTACCTAGGATGAGATTTGACCCATCCTAAAACAACAAATCTAGACAGTATTTGTTGTCCTAGATTGGTCAAATCCCATCCTAGATAACAATATTTTGGGATGGAGGTAGTAGAATAATAGATAGGCCTATCACTGCATCATACGGCCGTTACCTGCTCCTTAGAAACTTCAGAGAAGCAAATACCCCTTTTCTGTTCAAGTTCTCTGCTTACATAATTAATACTACTAGTAAATAGTAATGCCGATTATCAGCTGAGTCAATGACAGGAACCGGGTTTGCTCCATAAGTACTATAAATAAGACTAACCAGACTTGTTTAGTTATCTCTGAAAAATGAATTTCTTCAGTTTTCTGCAATGTCAACTGGGAAAAGAAACGTTGAAATGGGAAGGCAAAGAAATGGGGGGAAGGACGAAAGGGACAGATGAACTGCTGAGATTTCAGTGGAGATTTGATCCTGGATTTAAATGCAATATCCGATTAATCTAGACCTATCACCAACTGAGAAGCAGCTTGCATAACTCAGGAGCAGGCTGGAAGGAGTGAGAGCTAAACTGATATATCGCCTGGTAAAGAACTAAACAAATCATGCATTGTGTGCAGAATAGCTCAATCCTATCAGAATACTACCAACAGGGCATAGACTTGACTTCAAGTTCCAGTTCCAGATCACACGGCTTTTCTTACATTTTATCATTTAATTTTTAGAATTTTTGCATTTAATTTTGATCATTGTTGATGGTTCTAGTTAGATTGCTTGCCTCTGAAAGTCACATATGGCAAAGTCATACTAATTGATATTATAATTCTCTTCCACCTTACTCCTTTTTATTCTCAAAGTGCGGATGTAATTCTGCCGCCTCTTCACGAATGTTCGCATTAAGATGCTGAGAGTTAACAAATGCAATTATTTTGAGGCCTCTCTAATTTTAAGTTTTACATATTGGTTGTTAAATGAATTTGACAAAAGAGTTATGTCTCTTTTTTAGGGTGAATAGCTAATACGGTCATTGAAGTTTCGCTTTTGGCTCAGTAATTTAGTCCTCGATGTTTCATATCGTCTAAACAAATCCTCCAAATTAATTATTTAGGCTAATATAGTCCTTGGACTCACAAAAAATACCACGTGAGTATGCCAAGTCATCCTCGCATGCAGCGTATGAATGAAATGACAATTCTACCCTTATATACCATATAGAAATGAAAGAGAAGACACAAACAGAAAAAATAACAGGCCAGCCTAGGCCTAACATTGTTGCGGATGGGTGGCCGACAAAGGAATTTACACGATCAGTGCTTGGCTGCAGCAATCGTAAGTGACAATTCTAAAACGATCATACACGTGTGAAACATTTATCTTCTTTTTTCTTTCTTTACTATATGGTATATAAGGGTAGAGTTGTCATTTCATTCATACCGCTGCATGCGATGATGACTTGTCATGCTCACGTGGCACTTTTTTTGTCCAAGGACTATATTAATCCAAATGATTAATTCGGAGGACTTGTTTGGACGATTTAAAACCTCAAAGGCTAAACTGGGCCCGAAGCGAAACTTTAGGAACCATATTAGCTATTCACCCTCTTTTTTAATTAAAAAGGGGGGGGACCTTCATGTTTGGTGTATCAATCGTTGCATGTCTTTAAAAAGGAAAATATGTAGACTATTGCCAAATAAGAAGATGTGAAATCCATTGTAAAAAAGATTATGTGCCTGTCACGTATCCCAAAACCATTCATAAGAAAAAAAGAACTCTCTGAATGCAAATTGAACCAGTTCTAACATTGAAAATGAATAGGATTGAAGTTTAGGGTGAAAATTAAACTGTAATGAGAGTTGAGTTGAGGAAGCAAAGAACAATCTTTCTAAAAACAGAGCTTCTCATCACCATTTTTCATATGCATGCATGTGTGGCTATCCTTTTTCTCTTTGTTGCATTAAAATATTGGAGGCATGGCGTGTACTCCTTCTGTCAAAAAAAAAAAAGCAACCTAGATAAGTCTAGATTCGTTATCCTAGGTTACATCAAATCCTTGCCTAGTTTGTCTTTTTTTTTTTATAGAGGGAGTATGCCGCTGAAAGCTTTAAAAAACTATAGGCACGACAACACAAAAGTCAATTTTGCTAAAGTTTTAAGCTGCAACCGAGGTTTCTAAGTTCATAACTCAGTCTGTTCCGTCTGTTGTCTATGTCTTTAACTGTTGAAACGGCCAGCTTTCCTATCCAGAGTATCCTTTTTGGTTTCTGAAGACAAACTCCATGTAACGCATAGAAATTAATCATTTCATAAAATACATATACTTTAACCAAATTATTATAAAACTATAAATTTAAGATGATACATCATAAAACTATAAATTTAAGATGATATATATCATAAAACTACAGATTTAACAATAAATTTGTCACAGAACTATAATTTTAAGGCTAAATATCGTAAAAGTATAAATTTAATTAATTATCACAAAACTACAAATTCTGATGTTTAAATTCTTAGCATTAATGTTTTATTTGAGTTTAAACGTCCAAGTTTTGTGATCAAATTGGTGCTAAACTCATAGTTTTGTGAAAACTTTGTTATTAAATATTTAATTTTACGATACTCCATCTTAAATCTATAATTTTGTGATAAATTTGATGTTAAATCTGTAGTTACATGATACATAATCTTAATATCTATCGTTTCGCAATAGTTTGGTTAATATATGAAATTAAAGCATATTTCGACAACCGTGACAACTTAATATAGATTCAATCATATATGTATTGTTATAATCTGAACCCGACATAATCAACAGTGTGGATTCTTGTTTCATTTTAACAAGGTAATGTTTCGCCATTGAGAGAAAATGGTCTAGCTTCATCCTCTTGTTTGAAAAATATGACTACCAACTTTCTTGCGTAATTATGCCACTAGATACTAATAAATGTTCATATTGGAATAAAGGAATAATATGTTCAAGCCTATGGAATTATTTTGTACTACTAACTTGGTCCTATACTCCTATTAATTTCTAACCGGGTGATTGACCTTGATCGTAGCTCGAGCACCTCGGTTGCCTTTATATGGGCATTGGCTTCAGCGATGTGCAAGAAAGCAGAGAGTTTCATTGGTTGGTTACGCACAAGTGCCTCCGGTAAGCATCAGTGTCTCACCTCTTTTTTTAAGTAATAAGGTGCAACGGTGTCTCGATGTGTAGGATTTCTTTTGTATCCTGGTACTTCTTGGCTTTGTAGGATGTACTTCCTCGTTGATAGTACAATGATACTTGATACGTTTGCATGATATTAATTCTCGTTAATAGTACTACATGTTTGTATGGGGGACGCCTAATGGGCGATCGATCGCCGTGGGGATGGGGCAGCGATCAGATTCGCTCTCCACCTCCCCCCTCCCTCCCTCCACCTGGTTTCCTTTTTTGGCACCGCATTACTTTCATATTTTAGTAAATTTATACACCTAAAGTTTACACATCTAAAGTTTAGAGACCAAAAGTTTATAAGTCAAAAGTTTATATATCCGATTCAAATTTGAATTCGAATTCAAATATTTTTTATATATAGTATTTCTATACATCTAAAGTTTATACACCTAAAGTTTATAGACCTAAAGTTCATAAGTCAAAAGTTTATATACTTGTTTCAAATTTGAATTTGAATTCAAATATCCGATTCAAATTTGAATCTGAATTCAAATATTTTTCATATATAGTATTTCTATACATCTAAAGTTTATAGACCTAAAGTTTATATACCCGATTCAAATTTGAATTTGAATTATATCTGATTCAAATTTGAATTTGAATTCAAATATTTTCTATATATAGTATTTCTATACATCTAAAGTTTATACACCTAAAGTTTATAGACCCAAAGTTTATAAGTCAAAAGTTTACATATCCGATTCAAATTTGAATTTGAATTCAAATTTTTTATATATAATATTTCTATACATAAATTTTTCTAACTTCTGTTTTTTAAAAAAATTTGTGTGGTCTACCGTAGTAAAAAGAGGGGAAGGGGAGGAGGAAGGGGGAGAAGAGGAAGGAGTACATATAGTAGTATAGGGGAGAGGGTGGGCGGGTGATCGCTGGGCGGGTGGGTGAGCGATCACCCACCCATTAGCATTTCCGGTTTGTATGTGCGTGTTCCCCTGTATCTTTTCCCTTTAGTGTTCAAGGAACTATAACCATATTTCAGATGTTCTTGGTCTTCTTAATATATGTCACCGTGACTCAATCGAGCTAGGTAGAGGAGGTAAACAAAGTAAACTGTTTGGGAAGTTCAGCGCGTAAATTTTCAGACTTTGGTGAATGTTCAGGGTGTAACATAGCTTTATCCACAAGTTAATATGGTCTTTATGGTTCAACCACTATATACTCATCAAAGAGTAATCATGATAACGTCGCTTATGGCCAAAAGGGGGGGGGGGGGGGGGGTTTATTCAATTATGAAATTTTACTCCCCTATGTACTAATTGAGCTTTGCTGATTCAGCAGTGCTCATCTACGTGGACACCACAAATCAATAGAACCTTTTCCCATTTGGACGCAAAACCAACCTAAGGCCATGCAAATCATCATGTCTCCATTCATCGTACTGATGCAAACTTGTTTCCACTCTGCTTTGCCTCGAATATCTCGGCAGGTAGACGTCAGGTATCTTCAGTTCTGCACGCCTATTTAACCGCCGAATTCTGCAACCAACGCCGGCAATGCCGCGAGCCGTGTCCGACGGTGCCGACAACCTCGACGCCGACATGGACAACGGCGCCGCGCAGCAGCAGCACGACGGCTACAATGTCGGCGCGCCGCCGAAGAAGAACCTCCTGGCGGAGTTCGCCGGCACGGTGAAGGAGACGTTCTTCTCCGACGAGCCGATGCGGCGGTACAAGGACCAGCCGAGGTCCAGGAAGCTATGGCTCGCCTTGCAGCACGTCTTCCCGGTGTTCGAATGGGGCAGACAATACACCCTCGCCAAGTTCAAGGGCGACCTCATTGCCGGCCTCACCCTTGCCAGCCTCGTCATACCTCAGGTGCATTACTGAGCTGAGATTTACCACTATCACTGACAACCAACAGTGATTCTCAACAGTGATAGCATTTTCTGCATTAGTGAGCATCTTTCATCTCTAACTAATGGACGATATCTTGAACCAGGACATCGGCTACGCGAAGCTTGCTAACCTGCCACCAGAGATTGGGCTGCGTAAGTGCAATGCAATCAAAACATCTTCGTGCTACTTGAAAATCTTTACTACACTGTGATGAGATCATTTCTTCAGGAGCTAATTGAACTGAGATGTGGTGGTTCTCTTTTGGCAGACAGTAGCTTCGTCCCGCCATTGATATACGCTCTGATGGGCACCTCAAGGGAGCTAGCAATGGGTCCAGTGGCCGTCATCTCACTGCTGCTTGGTACTCTCCTCCAGGAGGAGATTGACTCAAAGAAGAACCCGCTAGATTACAGACGGCTCGCCTTCACAGCGACCTTCTTTGCAGGAGTCACACAGGCGGCGCTGGGTTTCTGCAGGCTAGGGTTCATCATAGCGTTCCTGTCTCATGCTGCCATCATCGGATTCATGGCCGGCGCCGCCATCACCATTGCTCTTCAGCAGCTTAAAGGCTTCCTTGGAATTGCAAACTTCACCAAGAAGACTGACATCATCTCGGTCATGAAATCAGTCTGGGGAAATGTTCACCATGGGGCAAGTATTTTTGTACCTCTCCAACTTCTTGATCTCTTCTCTGAAAAAGGGTAGTGTTTGAGATAACTCATGGTTGGTTGTTGCTGCAGTGGAACTGGCAGACAATATTGATCGGAGCATCATTTTTGGCATTCCTCCTGGTTGCCAAGTACATCGTAAGACAAAATTACATAACGATTTAGTGTTACCTTGACTATTGTTGATGAACTGATGATCACACTTGTCCACTGGGATTATTCAGGGCAAGAAGAACAAGAAGCTCTTCTGGGTCCCAGCAATTGCACCACTCATTTCGGTGATCATTTCAACTTTGTTCGTCTACATCACTCGTGCTGACAAACAAGGCGTCGCAATCGTGAGTTCTCATTCACAACTTGATCTTTGCCATTAGAAAAGCCAAGCAATTGTGCTGTATTTCCAGATAAGTTGAAGTGGAGGTTGTCCAAATAAACTGCAGGTAAAAAACGTCAAGAAAGGCATCAATCCACCTTCAGCTAGCCTGATATTTTTCACTGGCCCATACTTGCTCAAAGGATTCAAAATTGGAGTAGTAGCTGGAATGATAAGCCTTACGGTAAACTGCATTATTTCCTTTTAGTTTAAAAACTGTAGCATGAAAGCACTCTAAAATAGCAATGTGCTGAATTGTCAACCGATGCAAACATTGTTAGGAAGCGATTGCAGTTGGAAGAACATTTGCTGGATTGAACGATTACCAGATAGATGGGAACAAAGAAATGTTGGCTCTAGGAACCATGAATGTGGTCGGTTCAATGACGTCTTGCTATATAGCCACAGGTAAGTGCTGATTCAGCATAAAACAACTAACTATCAAGAGCATATTAGCATTCTTTGTTATTGAAGTAGTTTCCTGCAGGTGGTTTTGCACGATCAGCAGTCAATTGCATGGCTGGAGGTAAAACACCAATGTCCAATATTGTTATGTCAACTGTAGTATTGCTTGCACTCCTGTGGATCACTCCATTGTTCAAGTACACGCCCAATGCCACCATTTCTTCCATCATCATATCAGCAGTGCTTGGCCTATTTGACTTTGAATCAGCCTACCTTATCTGGAAGGTTGATAAGTTGGACTTCATGGCGTGCTTGGGGGCATTCCTTGGAGTAATATTTTCATCTGTGGAGTATGGCTTGCTCATTGCGGTGTGAATTTCTGACTGTTTCTGTCAGGTCGCTTACAGCCGAACACCTTGTACGATAGACAAATGGCTGATGATTGTTGCACTTGTTTGTGGAATAGGTTGTAATATCACTAATCAAAGTTCTGCTCCATGTAACACGGCCAAGGACAGCTTTACTTGGCAACCTTCCAAGAACGATTATCTATAGAAATGTTGAACAATATCCAGAAGCTACCAAGGTGCCAGGGATGCTAATTGTAAGAGTGGACTCAGCAATATACTTCACAAACTCCAATTATGTTAAAGAAAGGTAAAATGTCCCCAAGTTCAGAATTATGGTATTTTACTAAGTTAGTAGTTTTTATATTAGATTTTTTTTGGTCAATTGTATTCTGCTTATAAATATTTAAAAAATAATTACCTGGATATGGTAATCAGTTTATCACCACTGTTGTGTTTTTATACAAACTTCTCTTCTCCTCTCTCTGCTTTTTTTTTCGGGGGGAGGGGGGATGTAGACAATCCATTTTCAGTTGCTACCAGAACAAAAGCAAAAGTCAACTCACCCTTAAAAGAGAAATATTGCATGAGAAGATCCTCTGGAATAAAGTCAAATCATGGCTGTGTGTGAAAGCCCCTTGTGTCATAAATATTCTAATACCATAAGATCACATCCGATATATCATTGTGTTATCTTCAGTATTCTAGCAACATGTTGCAATCTCAGAAATAATTATAAGAAAACAATGCTTAACTTGCTATCCAATTTCAGAATGCTGAGATGGCTGAGAGATGAGGAAGAACATCAAAAGGAACAGAAGTTACCAAAAATTGAGTTTCTGATTGTTGACCTATCTCGTAAGAACTGTATTATTTTTTTCTATACAACATATTGCTGATTTGTTTTACTGAGTTACGGCTGCTGGCTTTTCTAACTCTTTAACAGCTGTAAATGATATTGACACAAGTGGAATCCATGCCTTCAAAGAGTTGTTGAGGACACTTGAAAAGCGCCAGATTCAGGTAAAAAGGAAAACTTAAATTTCTAGCGATACAGAACTAAATGAGCTATTAGAAGAATATTCACATTAGGAATGTACACTAAGAAGAAAACCCATGTCTGTACTTACAGCTGATTTTCGCCAATCCTGGGGCGGCTGTGATCCAAAAGCTCCGGTCAGCAAAATTCACAGAGCTCATTGGTGAAGAAAAGATATGCCTGACAGTTGGTGACGCCGTAAAGAAATTTGCTCCCCAGTTGACTGAGAATGTCTGAACTCTGAAGAAGGTGCAACAAGTTATATTCAAGAGGTGTCATTCTTTTAGAAACTCAGTGTTAGCAAGTGCACTTTCATAGTGCAAAGCGGCACTGGAGTAAATAACGTAGTTGGGGAGGGAGATGGTAAATAAAGTAGTGTGCTGGACCTGAAGCCCACCAGATTTGCCAGGTGTAGTTGGGGAAAAGAACATATGCAGAGAAGCATAGTTGGGTATGTAAATGGGTATATCAGTGCATGCAACAGGGGTCGGCAAGGCAAGCACATGGATGAATATTTCTTGTATAAAAAGTGTGATGCTTGATGATTTTAATGTATCATCGTCTAGATCAAATAAATTTCATTGTTTGTTTGTGTTGATCGATCAATATCTGATAGTATTCCCTCGTTCACTGGATTTGATCAGACACCGCAATGAGATTTCACTTGTGGCTTATACAGTTTGTTGCATTGATATAGGTACAAGGAATTATTTGTTGGCTTTCTCTTATTACAGAATACCTGGCTAGAAGCATCTCTCTTCTGTTCGTTGATTTGCACTCACTTGTTCCACATATTTCCACAAATATCTCATTTGCAAATGAATCCTTCTTTTTTTTCATAAAAAATATGATAAATCATAAATGTGAAAGTTATAACAACAAATCATTGCAAGACTAAGACCCAGGTCCATTCATCCAGTTGATTTACAAACCGTGGACACCGTCAGGAACTCATGATAGAATCCAAAATTCATCTCTGGCTCTTCACAGTACATTAGACATCAGGGTACAGAAATGCACCTATCTCCAAGGATACGAAACAGCCAATTACAACTAACTAAGACGGTTTTCCACGAATCGGATCGCAATGGCCAATCGCCCAGCCCCTTCCAGAATCAGTGCTCCATCTAGCTAGACACTCACAAGCGAGAGGGGAGATGGTTTGGGGAACTTACCTTGAGAGGAACCGGTGGGAGGATCACGGGAGGGGAGCCCGGCGCAGAGGACCAACCGCACGGGAGGACGCCGTGGGCGCGCGACGGCGCCTGATCCCCACTGCCGCAGCCGGCGCCCCTGCGGCGAGCGCGCGGCGTCCGCCGTCCACAGTTGAGGGAGACCTCGGGGTCGGGGGCCAGGTTCCCTTTCGTGCGAGCAGCGAAGGCAACGCAGGTCGGTGAGAATCCCCACGCAGGCCGTAACTGGGCTGCCACTCACGATTTGAGCCCATGTATCTGTCACAGTCTCAAGTCTCGCTGCAACATATTTCTCTCGCAGAATCAGAAGAAGAAGAGGAAGACTTGGAAAAGGGGAAAGAACGGAGGAAGAACACGAAGAACAGAGGAAGAACAGGAAGAGATAGATGGAATTAGAGTTTGAATTGTTGATATTACATTGTTCGATCCAATCTCGGTCTTCCTGTCGGCTTTTATAGCAAGACACCATTAAGCCTCTCTCATCTCTCTATTAGTGGCCCAGTCTACAGCTACTGGGTCCACTCACTCACAGGGAAGCGAGAATTCGGCCTCCGTCTTCGCATGGGCCGAATCACAGGTTGGGCTCCTGTTGCAGGCGCAGTTGTCGCCGTGACATTCTCCTCACCTTGAGACGAAGCTTGTCCCCAAGCTTCAGCAATAGAAAATCGACGACGCAACTCTTGACCATTTTCCCAGGTAACAACCTGAGAATCAGGACCAGACCAGCGAACTTGTAGTTGCTCCACCATTTTAGAACCCTTGCGAACAAAACGACGATCCAAAATTTGAGATGGAATTGGCTGCTTACTGTAGTCAATCTGAAACACCGGCAATGAAGATTGCACTGATTCACTTGGCGCCAAAGCCTTCTTAAGTTGAGAAACATGAATCACTGGATGAATCAGACTTGTTGCAGGTAATGCCAACTTGTAAGCCACTTCACCCACACGAGCCAGGATCTGAAATGGACCATAAAAACGAAATGCTAACTTGCGATTTGCTCTTGTGACCACAGATTGTTGGACAAACGGCTGCAACTTCAAATAAACCCAGTCACCAACTGCAAATGAACGCTCAAAACGGTGCTTATCCGCTTGAAATTTCATACGAGCTTGAGCTCTCAACAAATGGTCTCTAATCAGACTCTGCATCTGTTCACGTTCCTGTAACCAGTCCGACAATTCTAATGACTCGCATAAGGCATTAACAGACAAACCAAAATACCTTGGTTTATGCCCATAAAGCACTTCAAAAGGAGTAGTTCCCAATGCTGAATGAAATGATGTATTGTACCAATATTCAGCAAGAGCCAGCCATTTACTCCATTGAGAGGGACAAGTATGAACAAAACACCGAAGGAAAGTTTCAAGGCATTGGTTGACGCGCTCAGTTTGCCCATCGGTTTGCGGATGATAAGATGAGCTCATGCGCAACTGAGTGCCTGCCAATCTGAACAAAGTAGTCCACAATGTGCTGGTAAAAATTCTATCACGATCAGAGATTAAAGATTGCGGCAAACCATGTAATTTGTGGATGAACTACATATATGCCTCAGCCACATCCATGGCAGTAAAAGGATGAGCAAGAGGGACAAAATGGCTATACTTCGAAAACTTATCCACGGCTACCAAGATGCAGTTAAAAGTGGCAGATTTCGGCAACCCTTCAATGAAATCCAAAGACACGATTTGCCATGCATGGTCTGGAACAGGCAAACTCTGAAGCAAACCAGGGTACTTAACATGTTCGGACTTGGCTTGTTGACAGATAGAACATGCAGTCACAAACTGAACGACAGTAGTACGCAAATGTGGCCAAGCAAACAATTGTTTGATGCATTGGTAAGTGACATTGATACCTGAATGACCCCCAACAGGTGCATTATGCAGATTGGCCAATATTTTCTGTTGAACAGCAGCGTTATTACCAATCCACATTCTATTCTTGAAATAAAGAACCCCATCCTTCAGTGAGAAATCAGGAACCGCATCTGCACTAATACACAAAGTGCGAACCTTACTGCACACATCCAGGTCAGTAGCATAGCCATCAATCACCTCCTTAATCCAATCTGGAACAATAGAAGAAACTGCCGATAATTCCAGCACTGAGTCTGAAGGAAAACGAGATAAAGCATCAGCCGCACCATTCTCAACACCCTTTTTATAAAGAGACAATCCATTATATGCCACTGAGTTTGTCATAGCTCTACGATTTGCCACTGACTTTGTCACGTTCTATAATATACCATCGACTTTTACTTAACTTCTATGATTTTCCATCGCCGTCCAGTTAGTCTCCGTTAGTACTGTACAATTTTGTCCAAATGACCAAAATACCCCTGGGATAAAACTTCCAAAATGTGGACAAAAATTCCGAAATACCATATCATAAACATAAGATTGTAAACATTCAAAATTTGTCCAAAAACTTAAAGTCTGACATTTCAGAATTTTTATCCAAAATTTGAAAGTTTTTGTCTCAGGGGTATTTTGGTCATTTGGATGAAAGTGTACAGTACTAACGGAGACTAACCGGATGGCGGTGGTAAATCGTAGAAGTTAAGCAAAAATCGATGGCATATTATAGAACGTGACAAAGTCAGTGGCAAATCGTAGACCTATGACAAACTCAGTGGCATACAATGGATTATCTCTTTTATAAATGATTTTATAGCGTAAACCCAGCAACTTGGTTAGTGCTTTATGTTGCCAAGGAGTTGTCAAACGCTGATCATCTAAAAATGATAAACTTCAATGATCAGTGCGAATAAAGAACTCAGCATGTTGGAGATATGGGCGCCAATGTTCAACAGCCAAAATAATAGCCAAACTCTCCTTTTCATACGTGGACAGTCCTTGATGTCGTGGACCCAAAGCACGGCTCAAGAAAGCAATAGGATGTTACTTCTGCATCAGAACTGCACCAATGCCCTTATCAGATGCATCTGTCTCCACAATAAAAGGTGCATCAAAGTCTGGCATTGCAAGAACTGGGGCAGTGACTAATGCATGCTTCAATGCCTGAAAAGCCTTTTCAGTCTCATCAGTCCACATATAAATTTGCCCTTTTCTCAAAAGATTAGTCAATGGCTTGCTCAACAATCCATAATGTCGAACAAATTTGCGATAGTAACCTGCTAAACCTAGAAAACCACGCAATTCTTTGACACAAGTTGGGGTTGGCCAGTTTCTGACAACCTGAATCTTCTCTTCATCGGTAGATACACCATTTGGACTAACAATATGTCCCAAGTATGCTAGCCGTTGTTGAGCAAAAGAGCATTTGCTGCTTTTGACCTTAAGTTGATGCTTTGTCAATATTTGTAGCACTGATTGCAAATGCTGAACATGATCAGATAAGGTCTTACTGTAAATCAAAATGTCGTTCACGAAAACAAGCACAAATTTTCTCAACAAAGGAGACAGAATATTGTTCAAACATCCTTGGAAGGTGGCCGGTGCACTAGTTAGACCAAAAGGCATCACACGAAACTCAAAATGACCGTGATGCGTTTTGAATGTTGTTTTATGTTCATCCACTGCCTGCATTCTAATCTGATGATAACCCGCTCGTAGATCCAACTTAGTGAACCAGTGAGCGCCAGACAACTCATCTAGTAACTCATCGATGACTGGTAAGGGATATTTATTCTTGATAGTAATGGCATTGAGATGTCGGTAATCAACACAAAAGCGCCACGTTCCATCTTTCTTCTTCACCAACAAGACTGGAGACGAAAAAGGGCTAGAGCTAGGTTGAATTGTCCCTTTGGCCAACATTTCTTTGACTTGTAACTCAATCTCATCCTTCTGAGTAGGTGTATACCGATAAGGACGAACATTCACCGGCAAAGCCCCAGGCATAAGTGGAATTGAATGATCGAATGCTCGAGAAGGAGGCAAACTTGAGGGTTCATCAAAGACATGAGCAAAATTCGAGAGGACCTGCTGAATTTCAGTTGGAACAGATTCATGTGGAACAGATTCAGATACAGCACATAACTGAATTAAGTGAGATATAGCTTGTCTGTCTTTTAATTCTTGAAACTGTTGAGCTGAAATACAGACACACTGTTCCATTTCAGATAAAATGCCCTGCAAAGTCACAGATTGCTGCCTCCAAGTAATTGTCAAAGTCTTCTGTATCCAATCCACCTGCATTGGACTATGATCCATTAACCAATCCATACCCAATATCATATCATAACTGCCCAAATCCAAGACCTTAAAAGTTGTGCAGAAAACCCATCCTTGAGTCATCCAATCACAGTTTGGTACTGAAGCAACACAATTCAGAATAGTGCCATTGGCAACCTTCACCCGAGTAGCTGCAACTAATGGAGTGACTCCAGTAAGTTTCTGTGCAATCTGAGAACTAAGGAAACTGGTTGTACTGCCTGAATCGACAAGAATCAACACTTCTTTCCCTTGAATATATCCAAGCATACGCATACAACCCACAGTTTCAGACCCATGTATAGCCTGCACAGAAATTGCTATCAAGTCTGGATTGTCATATTCTTCCAATTGTTCTAACTGCTCTTGATCAGGAATGTCATCACAACCCAAGGTATTGATCAACTCCTGAACAGCATGCAACTGAACAGTATTTGTGTGTAGGTGACCATTTTTCAGCACAAATGTAACATAGTCCTTGAGCTCGCCGCTGTACCTTTAACACCGAAATTTTATCAGCATTATTCACCATTTTGGAATTGTCATTTCCCTTGTGATCTGCTGTTCTAGACACCATCCCAACTTGCATTCCCCGAGTCGGCGGTAAAGGTAATGGCAAAGCACTTTTGAATGCAGGATTTGGTCTAACTTGCAGACCATTGTCAGTTCTTTTCGGATTTGACCCTATCACAGATTCTAACATAACTTCTTCTTGCAGAGATGCAATAGCCAGAGCTGTCTCCAAATCCTTTGGACGTTGCAAGAGAACTGCATTTCTGATCTCCCGACGCAATCCCGCAGTAAAACGATGTGTTAGATACCGTATATTCAAAAGGGGATCATAAACTAAAAGCTGATTCATTAACTCATCAAACTTTTCATAATACTCCCAAACAGAACCTATTTGCTTGATACTATCCATTTGCCTAATCAGAACCTCATGTTGATCCCTATCAAACTTGTTCGACATAGCTACACAAAAATTCTCCCATATAGGAAATCTAACATGAGCCTTAGTTGATCTTAACCACGAAGCTGCTCTTCCCGAAAAATAAATGGTTGCTATTCTAACCCACAATCCAGGAAAAGTATTATTCACATCAAAATAATGCTCACATCTCATCCTCCAATCCTCAGGATCTGTGCCATCAAACTTTGGAAAATCAAGTTTCGGAACCCTATGATTATATTGTCGCCCGAATTGATCCCCATCACTTTCCCCACCTCCCAATTCAAATTGATCAA